TAACCTTCTTTAATCCAGTTTAATCTGAGGTTAGATGATGTTAACCTTCTTTAATCCAGTTTAATCTGAGGTTAGATGATGCTAACCTTCTTTAATCCAGTTTAATCTGAGGTTAGATGACGCTAGCCTTGTTTAATCCAGTTTAATCTGAGGTTAGATGATGCTAACCTTCAGTCAGGTGTTTAAACATTGTTTTTCTGCAGGTGGGTTGCCCAGTTTTGGCTCTAGAAGTGCTCTCTAAAATTCCCAAAGTCAGTAAGAAGGTGGGCTCGTCACCTGTCAGGACAGCTTCGTCGAAGGCCAACCAGCCGTTAGAGAACGGCACCCAGGGAGGCCTCGACTGGGACGTCCCGCCAACAAACACCCAGGCCTGGGGAGGAAACCACAGCGGGGGGATGGACTGGAGCCAGCCGGTGGTCCAGGTGGAGGAAGACGAGCTGAAACTTGACTGGGGAGACGATAAGGACGATGATGATGAGGAGGAGGAGGATGGTGAAGGTTTGACCATGAAGAAACCAGAGCAGGAGAGCAAAGCAGACCTGAAGGATGGTGTCTCCAAACTGCAGAGAGACGACTCACAGGTAGCAAATATCAAACTTAAATCCTGTTTTTGTTTTTAGTTGTTATTTTAATAAAAAGAAAGATGCAGCCTTTTTTTTATCAAAATGTTTAAATTTAAATTGATCTTGTTTATTAAAACAAAATKAACTGTTAGAAGATGGAACCACTGTATGAACCAGTGAGTCAGATTATAAATCCCTGTTCAGTCAGTTTGTCTGAGAGCTTTAATAGATCAGAACAAACAGATGAATATTTTTCTGCTTTAGGGTGACTCAGAGGTGGACGTGATCGCAGAGCAGCTGAAGTTCCGTGCCTGTCTGAAGATCCTGATGACGGAGCTGCGGACGCTGGCGACGGGCTTCGAAGTGGACGGAGGGAAGCTGAGGTTCCAGCTCTACAGCTGGCTGGAGAAGGAGATCGCTGCCATGCACAAGATCTGTAACTACAAGGTGGGTTTTCAGACATGGCCGTCCCAGCAGAGTCTCCTGAATGTTCACAGAACATGATTCCCTCACAGGTGGAAGGAAAGGAGGAGGAGTCAGAGGTGGAGCGAGGCCGGACGGCTTCTATAGACATATCGGACGAGGCACTGGAGTGTTCTGAGGCCGGAGCGTACGAGCGCCATCAGATGGAGCGACGGCGTCTGCAGGCCAAGCAGCAGCACTCAGAGAGACGTAAGGCCTGGCTGAGGAAGAACCAGGCCCTGCTGAGGGTCTTCCTGTCCTACTGCAGCCTTCATGGAGCCAAAGGAGGGGGGGTGACGTCTGTCCGCATGGAGCTGCTCTTCCTCCTGCAGGAGAGCCAGCAGGTGCACGTTGTTCTGTTTCAAGTGTTTCCTCTGTGCACCAAAAACATACGAGTCATTTAATCATCTGATTGAAGGATCCATGATTAGTTGTAGCATTAGACTTTATTTGATAAACATTTATTTTAACTGTAAAATAAAGACTGTAAAAATACTGTAGGATGTTCAGTTTTGTAAAGTTTAAAAATATATTTTAACACGGACGGAGCCATTTTATTT